GTATTTTATAAAATACTAGTCTGTTAAAACACAGCCAAGACAAGTTACCTTGTACACACCAAAGGTCAGTTTTATGTTATTTGATACGGTAACATGAGTGCATGAGAGTTCAGTCATTGTAATTTCTGTATTGTTAATCAGGCAAGGCTGAAAGGTCAATATAATAAAAATAATAAATATATATAAATGTATAATGTTATGAGATTTAAGCTATTTAGTCTAAACATTTAGGTTTTCTTGTTATAATTTGTGTTCATTCTAGAATGAAAGGGGCATTATTTATATTTATTTCCTAATTTTTTTATGGTGGTTGCGAAATCAGTCAAATCTACCAAGCCTGTACAGAGATTAATTATTGGACCATTATAAAGATTTTGCATGTGAAATTTCAAAATTTTCTGATGCATAAAAGTATTTCTAATTTCAAAATAAATATTATTTTGCATGATAGATAGGCAACATGCAAAAAGAAAAAAAAGACATGAGAAAAACATTGCTTTACAAAACTTAAGACTTAATAATAATAAAAAAAAAATTATATTTTGCGTATGAAAGCATTGTAATGATTACTGATAATTTGCCAAATTTCATTAACATTCACTTACTAATTTAAAAGTTATAACGTGAAAACTATAACAAGCACAAAATGGTTACGAGGTCGGTCCCAGGGACAGAGCTCATGCTGAAAGAGTTAAGTGAAAGGGAGCTGTAGAGAATAGGTGCAAATCCTTTGATCTATACTGTGAGCAAAATGGTCCACTACAAGAAAACTGTGTTAAAGCACTACTTGAAAGACACTTGCTGCTATATATTTGTTCCTCAAAATAATAGTGGAAATGAATACTTCATACCTGTGATGGACTGTTTCCCTAAATGACCAGAAGCATGTATATTTTTATTATTGTTACAATTACCTCCTTTAGATTATTACTATCATTCACAAGAACTGGCAAACCAGCAAGCTAGTCTTATTGTCTTTAGCCAAGCAACCACAGCATGAATGGGAGAAAAACAACATAGTAATTCTAAGAACCCATGAGTGACAACAAAGGACTATATGTTACAATAAAGATATCCTCTTTATTTAAAATTTTGTCTGGAAATTCATAAGCTACCTTATAAAATATTAGCAACAAACCACATAATATTCATTAAATCTCATTATCAAAGTACGACATTTAGATTATTTTTCATAGTTTTTATAAAAATTGTATTAGATACTTTCAAAGTCAAAAGTTGATCCCCACATCAAACTTACTCAAACTAATTTAATGAATAGTGAGTATTACTATCAGCTGAGTCCCACCTCACTACATGGCTGTATACAATGTGTGTATGTGAAAAATATTTAAAAAGGTAGTAAACTTGTAACTGATTTACTTAATTTTTCCTGGACTTGCTAGGGGTAGTTATACAGAAAATAAATAATTACAACAAAAATTACCTTAAATTTACTAACCTTTTGCTATCTTTTCTTGCTTTGTAAGTCTCTATAACAAATAATAAAAACCTCTGACAAAAAAATAAAATAAAGTAAAAAGTAATATTTACAACCATGAGTGGTTTAAGCTCACTAACCTTTTACTGTGCCATACTTCCTTGCCTTATAACAGTCTATGCAAACAACAAAGCCACACTTGTGACAAACCCAGTGAATGTTGAAGAGGGTTGTTTCACATACATCACACATTTCCCGAACTCCCTGCACTACTTGCTTCCAAGTTATTATCTTGTCTACAACAGAGAAAATTCAGAATAGTATAGTAATACTTCCATATCATTAACATAGATTCAAATGTATTCAACTGTGTGTCAAACTTGCACTGATTTTTTTAAATATCTGCAGATCCCTAAGAGTTTGTCTTATTTATTGAAGGAAACCTTGTGAATTCCATTTTGCTGTTGGCCAGTAGAAAAGTGAGGAATACAATTAAGCAAAATAGTATTCTGAAGCAACCGAAAAGACCATTTATAATGTTTAAACTATGCCCTGAAACAGTTGGCAGAGAATAGTGGAAAGGCTTTATAGAAGTTTAGAAATTTACCAAATTTGTATATTGCTAGACAAATTTTGATTAAATGTGGTTATGCAAGTGCTTTATACATTGTAGCCTGAGCTATCAAAAATTAAAATTATTGGGCATTTTTAAAATTCGAACCCTACCTGTTAAGTTATTTTTACTTTTGTACACTTCTAGAGCCATTCTATCAAACTTCCATTTGTGTTAAAACATTTGTTAGTTTTTAAATATCTAGGTCATAGTAAAGATTTTTTTAAGGTTTCCTTATTCCTTTTTCATTTGTGTACTTTAAGTAATAATACTGCTATGCTGTAAATTTATTTTGGATAAGTGAAATTTTATTTATAGATAATAAATTATCCTATCATCAAAAGAAATACTTGTGCAAGTGCCTATATCCCAACTTACATGGATGGATCAGTAATGTATATACAAGTATCATGTCTCTCCAGTCTTAATATAACAAAAACAATCAGCAGTTTGTTTGTTTAGTGTTGCTTTTGTAACTAAATAAACTTAATATAGCTTACTTTCTGACATATGAATACTCTTAGCTTCTCTTTCCTGGTTCACCAAGTCACAGAACTGGTCACCTACGTGGGTCAGCAAGAACTTGGCTGTATCTAAATCCAAGTCATCAGGAGGGGAATCAGTAGTTGGCATCCATAATCTACAATCTTCTTCTGAAGCATCAGAAGGCTCAGAAAATCCTGCACTGAGAATTGCCCCATTCTTTCCATAACGAAGCCTATTTGTAAGAGAAACGTAGAACATTACTTTTAACAAGAAGCATTAGCTTCTAGAGCTAATTTTCCATGCAGAAACCTATTTTGACATGCCTCATATAAGAAGCATTAGTTTTTTAGTATTTTATTGTCCTTGCAGGAAACTCTTTGTTCAACTTTGTGCAAAGCTACTCAAGAATAGTGCTAGCTGTCCCTAATTTTGAAGTTATAGACTAGAGGGAAGACAGCTAGTCAATACTACCTGCTGCTAACTTATGGGCTACTCAAGTCAAATAATGGAATTTGACCATCACTCTTACACTGCACTCCATGACCCCAAAGTGCAGTAATAGGACCCAAACCAAGGAATCTTGAATACATTGTCTGGCCCAAGACTATTTGTACATAGAGCATTTGTTTCTAGTGTTAATTTCTATAATGGAACCTGCAAATACATGTTCAATATATAAAGTTAGTTTTCAATATGAGGGCTTATGTGTAAGTTGTGTATAAGAAGCATTATTTAGTACTGTTCATTTTTCATACTGGAATTCATTCATGGTTAAAAATTTAAAACACTGGATACTGCTCTGTTCAAATTTATTATTTGCAAACCCAGAGAATCCACTCACTCAGAAACCTTTCGAGCAAATTTCACTATATACATGTTCATTATCTTTACAAATTAATTTATGTAGCATACATTTTAGTATGCCAATGGTTTTTTTATTGCAAGTTCATTACTAGAGTGCCACTCAAACGAAAGTGGAAAATTCAAGTTTCAGTTATCTGAGATTTCACTCTCCGAGTTTCTTATTTTTGGTATAAAACTCAACTGCTGAAAATCTCATTCTAATCTATTAATATTTAGAGGTTACTCAGTATCCCCCTTTTTCATATTATGTACATCAAGTCCAAGATGCCATATAACTAGTATCACTGAATCATTTCCATCAAATTACGTATACAAAGTATATAAAAATTATGTAAATAAAACATACAAGTTTATGTCAATGACAAAGGTTTTTTTCCTTTTCAGGTAAAAAGGGCAAGTACTAGCTGATATGTGATGAAGAAAAAGCATGGTGTATGGTTGGTGGGTGGGTATGTGGGATACCATACACATTTGCAAACTTCCATTGAAGAGGGAAGTCATCCATTTTTGGAATAAAGCAAGAATCCCTACAAGACAAGAATACCAAATAATTAACAAGATCAAAGACCTACACTCCAAGTTGCAAAGCCTCTAGAAGAATGCATCAACAATAGACACACAACAGGGAAATAGGATGCTCTTAATAACACCCTTGATGCCCTGTTCAAGGAGGCACATGCTTATGCTTTGATAATTACAGAAATGGCCAAGGACAGGTAGTTTCTACTCTTTCAGAGGGAGAAAAAAAAAAAAGCAAGGATCCAGTAAACAGAAGTTGGCCAAGCAAGAATACAGGTGCCAACAGAAGTATCTACATTGCAAGTCCAGAAAGATGTAAAATGTTGTATGATCAATGATGGAGATCAATAAAAATGCAGCTGAGTGGCAGCAGCAGTGTAGAAAGTGAAGTCATCAGTGCCGATGATGAGGATGCCTTTTATGCAACTCAACTGCCTCACAAAATTCTAAGATACACCAAACCTACCAAAATCATCAGTCCCAGACTGCCTTCTGCACTGTATCGACCAAAAAATCAATAATAGAAACGCCACATATATCCTGGTAGCCACTGCTCAATCCTTAGGACACAATCCCCTGAAAACTGTTTGTAACAAAGAATAATCAGAAAAGCATTGCAACAGCATTAGAAAACCATCGCCAAAGACCTCCAAACCTCTTTTGCTCCAGAATTTAATATCTTTGTGATCCAACTGCACCTGAAGATATGGTATACCTGTCAGTGTCCTGCATCAGCCCCATGGAATGTTTTAGAATTGTTAAAGCAGCTTGTTTCACAAAACGAAACAAACAAACCTGTTGTCATGGCAACAATCAAGATTTTCTCAAGCTATCTGCAGTACTTGAATGAAATGCTTATTGGGCTTGTGCTTTTTGATACCAAGGTTCCTGTAGATATGAAACTGGTGATGATGATAGCCCTGGAACAATGACAAAACAATTCTCTCCAGAATATCCAACTTCATAAAAATGCTAGAAAAACAACTATCAAACTTTGTATCAATTAACACCAAGAAGTTCTTTGTTGCTCTGGGTATTTCTCAGAATTTTCTTAACAAAACTCTCATCATGTGGAAAAATCAATGACTTCACTAAGGCTCGAGGTCAATTTGAGAAACTGGTGATTGTGATTGCTGCAGCCAAACATGGCATCACACTAATTAAGTTATTAAACAAGACCCTCAGCAACTAGGAAGAATAAAGGCAGTTCTTTCAAGTGGTGGTGAACCATAGTCAGGAATATCCAAACCCATAAAAGTCCACCATTGTCCAATAAGTTTTCAAAGAGAGACATTAATATTGATCCTGTTGTGTTGTATGCATTGTTATACATTTTTAACTTCATAGAGCAACCAATAAATATTGGGAGATTGTCTTTAAAATTGCAGTTATTTAGTTTCACAGGCAAATGAATAAAGTCGGGAGATGATAACTTGAAAATAGACTTGATTTTTCAGTGGCACCCTACTCAGCACCTATACTGGTTTGTTGTTGTTTTTCTCAAAAAATGCAGAAGACATGGGAATACTTTTAAGAGTTCAACTAAAATGATGGAAAAAATACCCACTTTTCCATAACCATATAAAGCATGGTGTTTAAAATGAAGCTTACGTGGTGAACAATATAGAAATATGGTGTTTTTCAAGTATAAAGTTAGTTCCTTCCCTATAACATAATTACATATAGCGGTAGTCATGTGGTAATTATAATTAGCTAGTCCTGTGATTTTCAATTTGAAACTATTTTCAACTTGCACATGAGAGCTATTCATGTGAGTATATATAAACATAATTAAAGAAATATTAGACATAGTATGGAAAAGATGGGTCAGTGGCTTTGTGAATTCAACCCAAATAACATTTTCTCTTAGTTTATTCTATAATTTATATCCAACATGATAAAAAATTAACTTGGATTGTTTTCTTAAATTAAAAATATACTAAAAATTACCACTATCATAACTTTTAAACTGGTGTACTTTAACAAAAGTACTTATGAGTGACAGTTTTGATCTAAGTAAGTTGCTTTACTCAGACTAGGAAGTTAATATTAAATATTCTGTCAAAGTGAACATTTAATAAGTATTTTACATTCTGAGCATATACTTTTTAAAAGCAATGTATAAACCTATTTTGGTTACACTGACGTACTTTCTGAAAGCGTAGAACCTGCAGAAGATGTTTGGCATTTTCTTATTTCTTTGGTGAGGAGTCATTCGACATTCTCTACACTTCGACAACTTGGGGGCTACTTCACAACATGGACCATTCTGTAAAAATGGCTCTCCTGTTCTTTTAAGTCGAGCTATTGATGGTGTTTCAAAAGGTTTGACTATGGAGTAATAAATAATTTACATTACCTCAAATGTTCACACATATCTAATAAGCCAAATTAGGTACCAAATACTTCTTTCTATATTACTTGATTTAAGATTATTTATACAATGAGATTATTCTACGGACAAGTAAACTTCAAATACAAATGAGAAAGAAACAAATTTTTAATTCAAAGTTAAAAACAAAAAGAGACATTATTTCCTGATATGTTTTTCATTTTGTAATATGAATAATTATTTAGATTTTAAAAACAGTAGCAGTACTTACGAGCTTTCTTTTTATGGGGAGTATCAGAATCATTTCCTCTTGCTTTAGGTCTTCTTCCTCTCCTTCCTTGTTTTGTTGGCCCTTTCACATTTTCAGTAATTATTTGGTTGGACTCTTCTTTTTGAATCTTTGTATCACCATCTTCAGGATTTCTCTCAATGCTATTTTCTCTCTGTTTTATTTTCTTATGACTACTCCCTTTTTCTTGTGTTTTGGAGATTCGTTTTCGTGAGGTTTTGCCCCTTTTAATTTCTCTTTCAGTTTCTGAGGCAGAGCTAGTAGAATCTTCCTCCCGAGTTGCAGAGTTGTTTTTAGTTTTATTCTTAAGCTCTTTGTTGGAAGAGTTTTTCTCAGATGACTTAGAATTGACTGTAGAATGGGCTGAGGAAGCAGTAGAAACTAGAGGGGCATTCAAGTCTATGTCTTCTACTTTCACAACAGCAACCCCAGGGTTTTTCACTAAAGACTCAGCATTTTCAACATTTGTTTTGTCTTCATTTTCAGAGTGTCTCTGCAACCAGGCTTTTTTCAACTTGGTATGATTTGTATTAGAGCTTCCACTGCTGGAACTGTAGTTAGTGTAGGTGCTCAGTGCTGGACTAGGGGTAATTCTAATTTCTGTGTCTGAATCCAAAGTTTGACCTTGTCCTGTACTAGCACTACCGATTGATGAGGGAATTTCTGAGATGTCTTTTGAGTTAGCCACTATAGCTTTGCTCTTATGCCTGACTTTAGCATGTTTGCTGTAACGGTGATAAGAATCCTGGGTTGAAAGCTGGGATGAACTTACAAAGGAACAAAATGAATCCATGAAACTTGAACTTTGCTGTGTCACAACTGTGGTACAAGTAACAAATGTAGGTACTGTTGACACCTTGCTGGCTGAAGTGATCTCTTCAATCATCACATTCTGAATATTAGGTTGAGAAACTAAGTCTTCCTTTTTTCTTTGTCGTTTTGAATAAATGTCTTCTTTTGCTAACCCGCGTTTGGTAGAAGCAAGTACAGAAGTACTGTGTAAGTTCAATGGTTGTATTTGAGCAAGAGATGTGTTGGAAACAGGTGGGATTGGCTCATTAGTTGGACTAGTTACAGGGAGGTTATATACAGGTACAGTTTGTAGTTTTGTGCTTGACAAGAGCATTGGAGAGGGAGACTGCCTAGCCATTACACTTGGAATGGACGATTTTTTGGTTAAAGGCGATGTTGATGATGTTCGATCAACAGGTCGTGTCTCACTAGAGCATGAAGATACTTGAGAATGTGATTCCAGATTTAACACACTATTGGTCTTACTCAGTGATGTATCAGGAAGTTTAGAAATGCTAGAGGTTTGATGCATGTAAGGATGGACTAGAACCGAACTTGGGACCCCATCAACAATTGCCTGAGTTGCTGTAGTGGTGGAGACTGAGCCCACAGTAGATGTATAGATTGGATTTGGCACCAAACCTGCCTGAATTAGGCTGTTTGAGAATGTTGTAGGTGATAATGATATATTCCCTTTAGCCGAAAGATGGCTAATCGAATAACCCCCTGAGAATGTCTCAGGTGGGGTTGAGGATTGAGGAGTTGGAGCTCCATGCTTTAGCTGATGTTTTTGATATTCTTGTTTCACTAGATTTTGTGGTTGATCTTGAAGGGGAAGGGAGTATTGTGAGGTTACCACCCTTTTAGGGGAAGGGGTATTTTGGTGAGCAGGAGCAGGACTTGAAGCAGAATAATCATATGGCTTAAAAACTCCATCCCCACCAACCAGCATCTGAGGAGAACTTGAACACTCTTGTACTAACTTTAATGACTGTTTCGGAGAGAGAGCAAGTGGCCGAATTTCAGAGGAATTACTTCGGCTACTACTAGGTGTACCTGTGCGACTTGGACCTCCTACTACAGTATAATCTTTTTCCGCTAGAACTTCAGATGATGTACCAACAGGTTGTAAGGGAGCACTGTGAAATGATAAAATACAGTATTAATCTCATCTTCTACAACTATTTTATTAACTATTATTACTGAAACTGTACTAAATCAGTCTGTCATATGTTATTGTACAACAATTATTGCAACTTTCTTTTCAATATTTTCATACTTCATAAGCTAGGTATGTGGAAAATTCTGTTTACCTAAAAATGTTACCTACTGGTCGGAAATATAATAAATATTTTCTAATAACAATGTATATTACGTATATAAGCACTTTTGAAATAGCCTTATTTGCAAGAATTATAAGGTGAAAGTTGAGCAGGAGAAAATCATAACATTAAATCACAGCACTAATTTAAATCTACATACTGGGATAATATTCTTATTATATTTCAGTAGTGCATTTAACTTCCAATAGCATTGATTTTATATTGCTTCAATTAGCCTAGAAAACAACAGGTTCATTTTTTTTAAATCCAGATTTAATTTTTCTGAGAAATTTTTATATTATTTGAAATAAAAGCGATATAAATAACTTAAGTCATTAAATAAAATCCACATCAACCTAACTAATCAAATAATAATTTTAATACACACATTAGGTTTTTGCTTTCTTCCCTGGCTTTTAACTGGGCAGGGGTGATGTACATATGCTGAAAAGGTTGGTATCCATAGAGACTGAAACTAGGTTCTGTTTTGGATTGAGCTGGACCAGGACTAGGTCTGTTCTGTTTTGGAGAGTAGCACTCTTGGTTCAACCTGGAACTGCTTGCTTGTTGCTGTCAAGGGCAGAACATTTAGTGGCAGAAGTTTCATATGTAAAACTTAAAAACATTCTCTTTTTATACTGGAATAATAAAATGTGCAGTATCAAATTATGTAAACCCCCCCCCCTTCTGGAATGATATCATGATAGATTAAAAAAAATTAAACTAATATTATGGCTGTGTATGTGTCTACAAATAAAACAAGTTCAATTAAAACTATTTGGTTTCAATTTTAACATACAAGTTATATAAACGGGTCTCATTTAAAACTTTAGCAAACTCCACTTAATTAGAAGAACTCATGCCTTTAGATGTTAATTTCTTTAATTGTTTAGGAACTGTTAGCTGTAGTCTTACCTGAGGGTATATGAAGGAGTGTTTTTTGTTATACTGAATATGTTGTTCTACTGCATGGTTTTGATGTTGCATGGGTACTAGCCAACAATCTGACTCTTGTCGAATCTGTGTTCCCATTGTTCCATGCCTGAAAAGATACACCACACAAAATAAAAATGTTTCAGAAAACTGACGTTTCAGGGGATGCCATGAACTTGTTTTGAATCTTTGGGAAATAGATGAAAGAACTTATGGATTCTTAATTAATTATTAGCAGCTGAATGCAATATTTTAAACAGTTCGATGTAAACATTATGATTAAAACTTTTAGTTTATACTTCCTTAAATAAACATTAAAAGTAAACAGTTAAATTAGATACGAGGTAAATTTTGTAATTTCCTGGATAAAAATTATATAATGTAGGTACCAAAGTGTTGGCCTCGATGCATAAATAAAATATTATGCTTTCATTAATGTACGACAATTGAACAATGTTTTAGTCAGTTAAATTAGTCATTTATTTAACAGTTTAGTTATGTAATACAGCTGTATCAGTTATGTTTTATAGTTCATTAGAAATATTTCTGAGTATAATTTAAACACTATTTAAGCAAACAGAAGTACATAATAATTCAATTTCATTTAAGAATAATGCTGTAAAAATTGTTCTGAAAGAACACACTTGCATTTCAATTACAGTATAAAAAACACTCAAAAACTACATCTCTCTCATCCTAATTAAGTAAACATACTTTTCTTTAACTTCTGTATCCATCTGTTCTTTTATTTTCTCTCTCTTTAGCTTAAATAACCCTTGATCTGGTCTCACAATACCAGGACTATCTCTGTCTACAACTGGTGATTTAGTCAGTGGAAGGTTAACAATTGGGCTCCATCCTGTGTGTTTCTGAAAAATGAACAATCAAGTAATAAATTTCTCTAATGAGTTTGTCTATTTAAACAAAATTTATAACTGACTAACCAATATTTTGAAGCCATATGTAAAGTTACACTGAAAGTAATTATTTTTTTGAAGTTCAATGAGCATTTACCCCTTTATATTAATATTATATTGATAACACCAATGAAAGATTTAAAATTTTAAACTATATACCTTTTGATTTGCTAATCTCAGGGATTCTTCAAAATGTTGCTGTACTTCTCTTGCTGCTCGTTCTCGCTCGTGGTCTTCTTCTTGTCTCTCTCTATCTACATACACTCTTTTTAATCTCTCTCTCTCCTGGTATTCTTTTTCCTGTTTCTCTTGAACACGTCTCTCTTTTTCTTGCTGTCTTTTTTCTTGGTGTTCTCGTCTTCCTTTTTCTGATTTTTCTCTCTCTATCTTCATTCGTTCTAACCTGTACTGCTCTTCTCGTTGTTCACTAAAGACCAATTAATAAGTACATGTAAACCAGCTCTAAAATAGTTTACTCCATTGTTTTACACTTAGCAAATATTACATAAACTTACCATAATCATCCAGAAATTCATACTACATAGCAAATCGGTATAATGTTACGCCTTGTTTCATATGCATCAACACCAAAATCATGCATTATAGCATACCACAATAAAACATGGTCAATTATAACTAATGGTATCAAATATGAATTCGATGCCATTTCATTATTAAGCAGATATGCCAAAATATGAAGGAATCCCATTGTAGATTCAACATTTCTTAAGGCATAATTCTGATAATATCAAAGATGTAAGGCACCTGTACTTGCACATTATACATTATGTTCTGCATTCAAAACTGTGATGTAGGTCAAGCAGTGTAACAGGAAAACTTGTAATCTGATATCTGGTGTTCATGTACTTGTTGTTTATGAAGCAAATTTCAACTTCCATGGAATCTCTCTCTCTCTTTGATACATTCCATATTGAAAATGTGATGGAACATACAATGTAGCTGCAAAGGCAGCTAATTATTTCTGAATTAGAAGTATCTAAGAGCTTATGTGTCATAACTAATTCCTCATCTTCTCTCTGATAAGTTTCCAAGTGACATAGAAATGGTTAACAATTCAAGGTAACAGAAATAATGAGGTTTGTACTGATACAAAATATTGGTAAAAACAAAATTAAATCAAATTTTAATTAGAATATCTAACTTTTAAAATCAAAGATTCAGCAAGTACATAACCCTGCCTTTCCAGACCTTAAAGTATTTACTATTAGATAGGATAATACAAAAAATACAATCATAACAAATTGATTTGTTATTAGGATAATGTAAACTTTAAACAACAGTGATATTCATTAATGCTGTTGAGATAAATCACAAAAAGTTTAAGTGCAGCATAAACTAAAAATATCAAAAAATGTAATACAAAGACTTGAGGGTACCATCATTAAAAAAAAAAGATTTAAATACATTATATCTGAATAGTACTCAGCTGTATTAAATTTGTCTTTGAATGAGAGACATGACAGATTTCTATAACATGATATAAAATGCTTTAATTATACAAAGGATAAATTTAGAGACAAAAGAAAAAATCATATTTTCAATATCAAGTTTACAAAATAATCATTTTTCACCATTTCAGATAACTGTCTTATTCGGAAAATCTTGTGGCCTAAAATATTATGATAAAAAAAATCTAACTTTCAATTCTCAGAATATTACAAATTAAAAACAGAGAACATCTCATTTTACATGTATGTCAATGAAACAGTCACACACACACACAAAGATAATCCTCTTTTCAGTCAAGTTACAAACTAAAACCACTTAACCCTTTCACTAAAGCTGGAATGTATATTTCCCAGTGCACCTACCTCACACTGCAACTGAGACGTTTCCCATTCTCATTCAAAATTGCTGCTCATGAGATATGGGAGCAAACTGAGTTGGAAAGTATTCATTAGCATCCCACCTGATGTTTCCATCAATGTTTTCCACTAAGCCCTTCATTAACCAACAATATACCTAAGCGGTATATACAATAACTGTGTGCAGACCGTGCCTGCATCACTAGAGTAGTAACCCTAATTACAATGTAAATATGCTTGATGATGAAGAGCTAATGAAACAGGAGGATGCTAGCTCTCCATCTTATGATGATAATCACAATGATGAACGTGGACCCAACAGGGGAAGGTGTAAATAGCATCGACAATGGGATACATTTGTCCCAGTCACAGTGTAAGAGGGATGGGAGCATAGGAAAATATACATTCCAGTTGCAGTGAATGGGTTAACAACATTCAGCCACACCTCAATGTTAATGACTGTTGTCCAGTGACTTATGTTTACCTACAAGGTCAACAACTAATAATAAAATTTTCCTGTACCATTATTGCACACACGCACACATACAAAAAGAAAAATTTTAAAAGAATACAAAATGTTACGCTTTAAAAGCAGACAGCCAGTGAAGCATTAGAAACCAATATACCTAACACTAGTATTCAAATTCATATACACTGCAGATGCTTTCTTCCATATTTTCCTCTTCATAAGTCCACTTTAAATTTGAAATCACTTGCATAAAAATGGCATTTCATATCTTTTATCTCCCACATGTAACTGTCTAAGAGACCTTTCATTTAATTCCAGAACTATTCAGTTGAGCTGGACATAACAGACAAAACTTTTTCTCAAATTCCACTTATATTTGCACTGTAAGACTTTTAAAAGTTTTGGTTTAAAGCTAGCAAAGCATTAGAAACTAATATGACTAACATTTGTGATAAAAAGCAAGTTTGAAATTTTACATGAATATTTTTTCCCTTAAAAAATTATTTCTTTAGCAAGTCAGTACAAACTTTTCTAGAATATCATTTTTTAATATAAATATTCCATCTACTTCAATACCATTATCTAATTTTCTTACTATTTATTTATTCCTATGTTTGATTCTTTTCTTCTTCTTCCTTTACAAATTGTTGAATTTGGAAAATAATGATTAATGAAAAACTAAGAAATTCATAATTATTTCTTTCCTCAAGTATTACATATCTCCAATTTCTTTCTTTTTTTAATACATACAACAAGTAGATTGTTCAACTGTGCTTCAATTCTCCTGAGTAGTTGTTCTATTTTTTATCTTTATTATTTCTTTTACCTTTTTTCTGTCTAGCTCATAGATACTTGATCTTTAGCCATTTTCATTATTTCTGTACTTCAAACACTTTCCAATACTCTTCTCCTCCCCATTCATTCTTCCAATTATCTTCAATTCCTCTTTTCATCTCTATTAAGCATTTTTTGGCCATCTTTATTACTTCTAAAATATATCCCCAAACATTCTTCATACCTTTTATTTCAATCTTCCTATACCTAAATTCCACATATAATTTGATGTATTTTATCTATTTATAGCACCCACTTATTTCCTATGTCTTCTCTACTGTCTCCTTTTTATTCCATCTCCATACATTATCAAAGTTAAATTCTCTACTTAATGTCATTCATCCATATCTCTTTGTTATGAATAATGTTCTTGTATAGCTAATGATCTCCCACATTGGAATTTCATCCTTTATGTAATTTATACATCAAGCCCATCCTAACATCTTGTCATTCTTTCTGATTTGGCTCATTTTTAACTGAAAAGAAGCTATCAAATGACACACAAATGTTATTAGGTAATACAAATTCCAGAAGCAGTAAAAAACTGATTTTTTTTTTAAATTGCAAGTCCATGATGATTATTCCATACAGGAAAATCTTCACATCTCTTTTCTTCTAAAGAAACAATTCAAAGTTTTAAGTATGGTTCACAAAAGTGAAAATTCCAAAGAATCAAGTAACCTATTATTCTTCCTATGATTTAATTTGAAATCCTAACTGAACACACTAACTGTCAGACACAAAATTAACACAGTGATGAATCGCAGATTTAAAAAGTACCATCTCTCAATCTATATTGCAAAATGGCCTTTTTTCGTAGGAGACTGTTCTTGTTTGAAGTATACTAATTATACAGAAACTTTTTTTTTACTATTTTTCTATAAACTAAAAAAAAAGTATAACAACTATAACAAAGTTTGCAAACTACTAATGAATGTAATTATATTAAGTTTCTCCCTAAAAGCATTGTAAAAATTAACAAATATTTTTGTTTGTGCTCAAGAAATAGCTTTTTGATGTTTACTGTTTTACAAATTAATTATCCCTTACAACTGCATTGCAGAGTTCAGTATTAAAGATAGTTGGAAAATTTTCTTTATCTAAGTATTGACATCCACACACTGTTCAGTTTCTTCTTTCCTACATTCACAATCCCACACCAATCCAAAACATCTTGGGACATATGTACATTATACTTACAATATTTATTTATTAAACTGATCGAATATTGTTTAGTAATTAGTTACAATAGTTAAGGATTTAAACATTATTAAATTCAATTAGAATTTAAATTTTTAATTTTACTTTCCTCTGTCAAAATGGTAAGAACTTTGTTTTAATTTTTAGTTGTAATTATGGTAGTCTACAGTTATATAACGTATACTAAATGTACCAAAGGATTGAAACTTATAAAGGTTTACTGTTATGTTTTGTTTAGTACTTGGAAATTTCTTGAAACTTTACTTTTTAATTACTCCACAGATATTATAACAGTCTTGGGTTTAACAACAGTTGCCAATTAATTTTTGAAAGTAAACATAAAATAACAAGGACAAATCTTCTGTTTTGTGTACAAAAGTTTATTAGAAAGAAATTTCTGTATGACTAGCCCTTGGCTAGTGACCTGTTATAGTCACTAGCCTGAATGAATGAGCTAGTGGCTTAAGAAATTAATGTACAACTCTGCATTAATACACAAAAGAAGTAGCCGGTGTGGTAAATCATTATTAAACAGTTTCATAAAAATTCCTTCCTATTACAGGTATGTACTTGGATATATGAATACACTAAACACACACTAATTTGTTTTTAAACAATTATAATGTTCCTATGTGAAGTATAATTTATATTGAAAGATGACACTTTCTAACCTAAAAGATTATCCTTGCTTAAAGAAATAAGTACACCACTTATACAAGAACATGACAACGTTCACTCTACCTATGTTTTATGACTACTTTAATTCTGAGCTTGTTAAAAAAAAAACTAGGAGTTTAAAAAATGACAAGGCTCTTGAACCATAGAAGAATACTGCTTCAAAATATTTACAGGTAGTTACTGTCTAACATCAGCCTCAATTGAAATATTGCTCCTTACCCAAAAAGGGCACTGACTTCTTGGAAAGGGTTCAAAGGAGGGCTAGATGATACTTTGGATATAAGGATTATCATAAATGGTGGTGTTAAGATCTCTGAAGCTGTTTTCTCATGAAAAAAAAAAGGAGTTAGAAGGGATCTGATACATGTTAAAGATTATAAAGGGAATTGTTAGTATCAATGCATCATTTTCTTTCATATT